CGGTGAGCAGGCGCCAGGTGCGAGCTCTCAGCGCGTAGCCCAGGAGGAAGAGCGCCAGCGCGGGGACCAGCAGGAACACCAGCCCGTAGCTCAGATTCCAGGCGCTGCAGGGGCACTGGAACACCACGGCGGAGAAGATGCGCTCCCCGCCCGCCGTCAGGAGCGTCAGCAGGCCGTAGCCCAGCGTGATGCGGTGCTTGAGGTACAGGTCCAGCACCGTCTGCAGCTTCTTCATTGGCTCCATGCCCCAGGCGCAGCGGACAGGTCTGGATGCTTCTGCCTCTGGGCCGCCCTGCGCCTGGGATGCTTGCGGTGTCCTGGGGTCTGGGGCTTTCCGCTCTGCTAAGAAGTAACTTCTGAAAAAGGAAGAGGGCTTCTCTGGCCCTGAGCTTTCGCTTTCTTATTTCAACGAAACCAGCCCTGACTGAAAAGCAGACCCGACCACACGCACCATTGGCCTCCCCAATGCCCACCCCTTTCTCAAGGCTCCTGCATTGGTGACCTCCCTCCCCAGTGCATGAACTCTGATTGAAGGTGGACTCTGTTCCATGGCAACATTTGCTTCTACCCAGCTGACAAGGAACCAGGGGACTTTCCTTACCCTTCCTGCCCCAGTGCAGCTCCCCCAAGTCAACAATACTTCTAACTTGGGCAAACTGGGGAAAACCATTTCCTTGATTGCAGCCACCTAGTTCCTAAGCCTGAAGGAACAGTTACCAAAAACCCTCTGATCATTAACAGGAAACACAGATTCCTGGTTTCTCTTTCATAAGCTAATTCAGAACAAAGCCCAGCTCAAGTTCTAGTACCTCCCTGGTGTCTGTGGACTTCCTGTTCCTCTTCTGGACAGAACCCCCACATCACTCACCTTGTTCTCTCCTCTGCCTGATCTCCCACCGGACATAAAGGACATTAGACTAAATATATAACATTGACTTTTGCCTTTTTTTTTTTTTCAGGTATATCCTTACACTGTGGATACCTGGAGGAGTGTCAAGTTCTTACTCAATGACCACCAAGTTGATCAGTGGGGACTGGGGAGGAGTATACGGTTGTTCAAAAATACCACTTGAGCCTGGCGGTGGTGGTTCAGTGATTGAATATTGACCTATGAACAAAGAGGTCTGGGTTCGATTCCCAGTCAGGTTGTGGGCTCCATTCCCAGTGTAGGGCATGCAGGAGGCAACCGATCAATGATTCTCTCTCATCATTGATGTTTCTAGCTCTCTCTCCCTCTCCCTTTCCCCTCTCTGAAATCAATAAAAATGTATTTTAAAAAATATCACTTGAACCAAAACCAATTCAAACTGCAGCTACAGCTAACTAACATGTTGTTTCCGCCGCTACCTTTAGTTTTTTCAAAGTAGCATGGCTCTGACACAAACTGTAACCACTCCTGTGAAACTGACCTGACTCTGTGTGGCTCCAGAGCAGGTAAGGTGTACTTGGAAGATAGGTGCAGTGTGTGTGTGTGTGTGTGTGTGTGTGTGTGTGTGTGTAATAAGTTAGTGCCTCTAAAACTCAGCATCTCATTTGTAAAAGCAGGTTAATAATGCTCACTTTTCAAGACTGTTGAGCCGAGTAAATTGAGTAGCATTTGTCAAGCACCTTTACATATAGGGTGTGCCTATTAAATGAATACTCAATGTGAGCAATTACCTCTTACATTGCAACTTTGAGATTAGACAATGAATAACTGTTGAACATAACTTAAGAATTCGGATGAATGCTGAGTTTTAGACCAAGGATTATATCCAGTGAGGCAACAATCCTCTACTACCTTAAGAGAACTGGTGTGCCCTTAGCTGTCCACCTCATCACCAGGAGGGTTTTTGGATATGGAGTCTAGGTGGGCAGGTCACAATGAACTGGTCACTGTTGGCACCCATCTGCTAGGTTTGCTTTATCTATCTAGGAAGAATTAACCTACAGAACCGAGTGAATTGTTAGAGAAGGGGCAAGAAATGTATTACCCTTTTCTTAGTCCAACTTGATGCCATCTTAGTTACCTCCCACCACCCGTATCTGGTACAAGACTACCGTTCTGTAGCATTTTGGTGAACAGTTATGCTCTCTTTTGCGTCTTCAGTTGTCCCCAGATCAGGGTCCTCATTGTCACTCAGTGGGTGCCATCTTCTCTGAGATTAGACCAGGTCTGCCTCTACACTTGCAGCAAAATTGCATGTTTGAAGCAAATCACTTCTGACTATCATCTCTGTAATCTTACATTTCCAAAAAACAAAACAAAACAAAAAACCTCTGCCTTTCCATGCTCCTCATGTGACTGGGATTATTGAATACAGCAGCAATAATTTGCCCATGTATATTATAGTGGAGAGGATATAGATAATAAGGGGAAAGTTCTCAAGGTTATGCAGATAATTAGGATAGAACTGTGTGGTAGAGAATGTCCTGAGAAATCCTCCATAAGCAGAGGGCACTTAAGCAGAAATCTAAAGAGAAAAAAGGAAAAAAGAAATCTGAATGACCAAGGCTCTGGAGTACCAAGGAGTGTGGCATGCTGTGGTTGGAAAGTGTTGCGAGTATTGAGGTGAGAAGGAAAGTGGCCCATCATGAGGGCAGAGCTGCAGGTTGAGGTCAGGGTTAAGGTCTTTATAGAGCAGAATATGTAGTTTGCAGTCCTGCCCTAAAACGCATTACAGCCTGAGCTGCATCTTGACCTATTATCCTGTCAGCTTGTGTCTGTAAACACCACCCCCTGGGGTTGCCACGCCAGTGCTCCCTCATCATGGGTCCTGCCTGCCAGCCTGCATTTTCTCGCAGCATTTGCAGTTGGCTCTTATATACTGGCATCCACCCACCACCTCTGGAGCAGTGGGTGGTTCTAGTTCGGGTCCATTGAAAATCACCAAGCCCTTTATGTCCAGCTCTGTTCTGAGAAAACATTGCTCAGATGTTTAACCCTTAGTGGAAATAGAATAAAATACTAATGATCTAGAGAGGATTCCAGAATTTTCTCTGAGAGTAGAGTGAATAATATTTGAAAGACCTTTACACGTTTGAAAATCCATAATTGAACACCAATGTTAAGCCCATTAGAACACCAATGGTTATGGGTTTTGTTTTAACTGCATTACTTTGTTTCTCAACACTCATTATCACTGGTTTTAGAAACCACAAAACATTTCTCAAAAAAGAAAGCAAGATCAAGTCTTGAAAGGAAGAAAACATTCACATTGTTGACAGCAATCATCTTCAAAGGAGCTAGTTTTCAAACTTTATTCTCTGTAGCTTTCAAGAGAACCCAGACTAATGGTATGACCTGGTTGGAATACAACTGCTAGATTCTAACAAAGTGTCAATCCTGTCCCCAAGACTCATCTACAAGAGTAAAATCAAATTAAGGTTCACATCTTGTAAGTATTTTCCATGCGCAAGACACATCTTTAAAAGAAACGTTCTTCCAGTCAGCATGACTCAGTGGTTGAGTGTTAACTTATGAATCAGGAAGTCAGGGTTCCAGTCCAGGTCAGGGCACATGCCAGGGTTGCCGGATCGATCCCCAGTGGGGAGAGTGCAGGAGGCAGCCAATCTATGATTCTCTCTCATTATTGACATTTATATCTTTCTCTCCATCTACCTTCTCTCTGAAATCAATAAAAATGTATTTTTTAGTAAAAGAAACATTCTTTTTTTAAAATTTTATTTTAGAGAGGAAGAGAAATAGAGAGCGAGAGAGCGAGAGAGAGAGAGAAAGAGAGAAACATCTATTTGTTGTTCCACTTATTTGTGCATTCATTGGTAGTTTCTTTTTTTAACTTTATTTTTATTGTTGACACTATGTCCCCATCTCCCTCCCCCTGACCCCTGCTTTGCCCACCTCCACCCAGCCTCCACCAGTACTTCCCTCTAGCCATCAGCACACTGTTGTTTGTGTCTATGAGTTAAGCACATAGGTTCTTTGGTTAATCTCGTTCACCATTCCTCCCAACCCTCTCCCTTCTGACAGCTGTCAGTCTGTTCCATGTATCCATACTTCTGGTTCTTTTCTGTTCATCAGTTTATTTTGTTCATTAGATTCCACATATGAGTGAGATCATTGGTATTTGTCTTTCTCTGACTGGCTTATTTCACTCAGCATAATATCTCACGGTCCATCCCTGCTGTCACAAAGGTCTGCATTCCTTCTTCTTTACAGCCATGTAGTATTTCATTGTGTAAATGTACCACAGTTGTTTTTTATCTGTTCATCTACTGATGGGCACTCGGGCTGTTGTAAATAATGCTGCCGTGAACACAGGGGTGCATATATTCTTTCCGATTGGTGTTTCTGGATTCTTAGGATATATTCCTAGAAGTGGGATTGTTGGGTCCAAAGGCAATTCCATTTTTAATTTTTTGAGGAAACTCCATACTGTTTTCCACAGTGGCTACACCAGTCAGCATTCCCACCAGCAGTGCACAAGGATGCCCTTTTCTCCACATCCTTGCCAGTACTTGTTGTTTGTTGACTTAATACTATAATGGTAGCCATTCTGGCAGGTGTGAGATGGTATCTCATTATGGTTTTAATTAGTGATGTTGAGCAGCTTCCAGTTACTCTGTAGCCACCTGGAATCTCATTGGTTGATTTTTTGATATGCCTTGATGGGGGATCAAACCCAAAACCTTGGTTGTATTGGGACAATGCTCTAACCAACTGAATTACCCAGCGGGTGTCCAGGTGACCAGGGCCAAGATACAACTTTAAATGCCAAACTTAAGTAAATTTAGAAAGTGTGACTCCTAAGCTTAAAGAATACTCTTCTGGGCCAGGGGTTTAGCTGGTTGGAGGATCATCCCATACGCCCAAAGGTTTGTGGGTTCAATCCCAGCTCAGGATTCATAGGGGAGGCAACTAATCTATGTTTCTCTCTCACATCGGTATTTCTCTCTCTCCTTCTCTCTTCTTTCCTCTTTCTAAAAATTAATAAAAAAATATCCTTGAGTGAGGATTAAAAAAAAACAATACTGTTCTGCATGTTACAATTTATAGATATATCATTTAGTTGTATAATATATTTTAAAATCTGGAACCAGCCCTAACCGGTTTGGCTCAATGGATAGAGCATCGGCCTGTGGACTGAAGGGTCCCAGGTTTGATTCTGATCAAAGGCATGTACCTTGGTTGTGGGCACATCCCCAGTGGGGAGTGTGCAGGATGCAGCTGAATTGATGTTTCCCTCACATCGATGTTTCTAATTCTCTATCCCTCTCCCTTCCTCAAAATCATTGGAATTCCCCTGATTCCCAGGTCATCTCCCGCCCCTGAGGGTTCCTGGACTGTGAGAGGGGGCAGGCCGGGCTGGGGGGCATGAATTTTCATGCACCAGGCCTCTAATGAATGAATAAATAAATAAATAAATAGATAAATAGATAGATAAAAATAAAAATAAATAAAATCTGGAATCTATTATTATGTTAAGACTTTTGAACATTTATAAAAGTTCTTCCTATGGAAATGTAAACAAAGGAAAGATCAAATCTTTTCTTTGGCATAGGAGTGTCATTTGTTAAATGACAATACCATGACATTTCAAATGCCAACCTTGTGACAAACACTAGTTAAGTCTATCTAGAGAGAAACAAGACAACACCAGGGAGAAGATAGGGCTATGGGGCAATTTCAGG